AGCAGACCATTACAGTAGTCTAACCTACCGGAGACAAATGCATGGATAAGAATCTACAGATCTGCTGTGTTTCTAATTTTAGCTCTGGTTTTCAGATGTTAAAGCTGCTGAAGGTACTGACGAATATTCACAAAATGCTGCACATCAGACAAAAGAATGTGCACTCAGGAAAAAACCCCAAGGACACAAGATAGTACAGGAATCATAAAGAAGACCAGCTTACAAAACCAGACAATTATTGACTCCAAGAATAAACAATGTTCTCTCCCACTTTTGACGAGAGCAACGTCCAACACAATCAGGCGGCGCAGAGGTGGGGGCATTGTTTGCTAAATCTGATATGGAAGACCAAAACCAAGACCAAAATCCAGACCAGAGACCAGTCTCAGACCATGTGACGTCATCGGACATGTTGATAAAACTGGGGGTAGGACATTTTGAGCAGTCTGAGCAGGGATAGATAGACAGAGAACATCGCAGAGCGCCTGCATGTGCCCTGCACATTTTCAGGCCTGGAGGGAAAGTTTAGAATGGCTCAGCATAGGGTTAGTTTTAGAGAATTAATGGCTCCAAGAGTTTTGTATTGATATTTAATTGTAAAGAGAATTAAATGTTCTATTTTTAACTCTTGCATTCTTGGCCTTATTTCTGTATCAAAATCTGAACACCTGTCAAAGCTTTTTTTTGGCAACAGTACCAATTGGATGTGGCTGTTAAAATTTACGTCTTAATCCATTATTACCCCAAGGGTCCTGACCTCACCTAAAGGTTCCAGCGAGAGAGACTGGAGTTGACAAATAACGCTCTCACGCACGGCAGGCCTGCTCTGACATCTTTACCCAAACTACTACTTTGAGAACCTTATGTCTGCAATCTATATAAAATACTGCCTCACTAATAATGGCTAATAATAAATACAGATAGAGTGGTAAATCTCAAAATGACATAAAACATCACATCAAAGTGAAAAGGTTGAGTAGATGAAGTTGAATAATCATCCTCACTTGCGGAGAAAATGCAGCAGGAGCGGCAGCAGGAGCGGCAGCAGGAGCGGCAGCAGGAGCGGCAGCAGGAGCGGCAGCAGGAGCGGCAGCAGTGAACACCACGGGGCCAAAACAGATCATTACACATGTCTATGGTCCAAGCAGCAACCAAAACGTAGAGCGGCTTCATACCTACATCCTGCTTTTTGCATCTGCTTTCTCTACTCGTTTGATGAATCTTTCCTGTTTGCAGTTTCCCCTTGTGCAAAGTACCTTCTCCCCTTTTACAACGCTTCAACCAGGATTCAAATAACGAGGCGTGGGTACAGCAGGAGCAGTTCTCGAGCAAATGCTAACCCTGGGCAAAAATCACAGAAGCGGTTAGAATTCGGTTATGGAAAAAGTTGGAGGAAGATTTAGGGGGAAGACAGGAACAGGACCGTAAATATAGAAATAATGTATATGGAGAAGACTCAAACGAGGGGAAGCCATTTCTGAGGTCAAAGGCAAAGAAATTATATTATAGACATTAAACACTCACCATCAAAGTTCCACTTGATAGGACTGAATATACAGTTGTGTTTAAACGTATGAACCCAAACTGATTTGTTTTATATTTTGGCCTTTTGGGAGATTTTTCTAAGACCTTTAGCCAAAATAATGACATCTATGGCTGAGTGTGTAACCTTTAAAGCACAACTGGATATTTGTTTCCGTTTTTCATGTTCAGCGAGTTGCTTCCCTCTTAATTCAAGCTAAACTCATGGAATTTTCAGCAAAAACATGCCCCTTCCTCCAAAGAGGATGCTCTGTGGTAAATCTCATAGTCCTCAATTTCTGTTCTTTTGTTTTCTGCCTTTGTCAATAAATTTCACATCAGCAAATGTATTTCTGTCAAGTTGTTATTACAATGTGAACTTACATTATGTTTGATGTTTTAAATTGCATGGCTGTTGTAATTCCCAGTGTCACCAGCAGATGAGGATTGTGGCCCGTTTTTCACCAGTGTTTTCCAACCGGTGGGCTGTGGCACTCTAGTGAGCCGTGAGATGTTTGGTGATCGCCCTTATTTATACTTCAAAATTACCTATTTGGTCAAAATAATAGTAGCGTGGAAGTGATGTACGCTGCATGCCTTGATGCGTGTATGTGCAGTCATCAAACGGAAAGTTCCCCATTGTGGGTTGAATAAAGGACGTTCTTCTTGATGTGAAAATACTGTGAGAAGATTAGAAGACTGTTTGTGATTGTTTGATTTTCTATGCAATACACTTTTATAAGAATTACTTTGTATCAGTTCAGCTGGTGGTGTGTCATGTCTTCACAAAGCTTGGGGAACACTACATTAGACAGCCACTTATTTGATTTTCATTTGCATCAATACATTATTTCAAATTCTAATGATCAAATATCAAAATGATATGACATATTATATAAAAAAAAATATATAACTCATCAACTCTTGTTAAATGTTCTGTTGTTGAGACAGAGGACTTCAGGGACTGCGGTCAGTCTCATTAAACTGTTAACGAGACCCCAGGGACTGGACGTTTGGACACAAATAATCCCTAAACACTGTAATGTTTCAACACAGGGACATGAGGACTCGCATTATGAAACAGGCCAAATGTCATGGTTCCATGCCTCGCTCCTCGGTCATTGCAGTGTTCTGGAAAATTGACTTCTGACAGTTTTAATAATAATGCATTGGTTATAAAATGCTTTTCTGGACACTAGATGTCTCTTTCACATATTCATTCATTCATTCGTACATAGTGGTGGTAAATTATTACTGTAGCTACAGCTGCTCAGGGGCAACCCTTTTGTGCCATCAGCCTCTTCCACCACCACCAGACTCATTCTAATGTGGGTGAAGTGTCTTGCCTAAGGACACAACCGCAGATGTCCCACTGGTCTCCCATCGCAGTAGTAACCAGGTCCTGCCCTGCTTAGCTTATAATGTCCGAAAAAAATCTGCCTTTCATAAGTCCAGAGCCTCAACTTGTGACTCACAGGGCTTTTTCATAAAGTTGCGAAAGATAACTTGCGTAAAATACGTTGTGATCTGATTCATTTTACTTTTACAAGACTCTTTCTGTTGTAAAAAATAAAAATAAAATAAAAACCTATACTACAGTGGTCCCTCACTATTGGTTTTTCAGATTCTTTTGCCCGCTTTTCTTTTACAGCTGGCGTCCCATGTTCCGTGTGAGTACTTCAACAACATGATAAACCGCTAGTATAACAGGACAGCAATCGTTTATATTATCATTTTAAGTCAGAACTGCGATGATTAGGATTACTCAGCACGGCGTCCTCTGCAGCTTTATTTTACAGTGTCGTATGCACGTCTTTTGACAGCTGCAGCAGCACTCAGACCCCAAACCAACAGGGGTGATATCTCTGCGATTGCAATTCAGCCGTTGTGATTTGAGGTGGTTAGAAAAGTATATAAAGCGAATATGAAGGATTTTACTGTCTTAAAAAAGGGGAGGGACAAGTGTGCTTGAACGCCTCCTGCCACATACTGCACTGCTAAAAAGGATAACATATGTGGTAATTATTGCTTGAATCGAGTGGTTTTTATTTGAAGTATCAGAAGAGTCCAGTGAAATTAACATGCATTTCTGATCACTGGAACATACTGTGGCCTCGTCCTCACGATACCAGATTCAAGCCATCGTAATGATTATCCAGTGTACTGTATGTTTCTCACGCTTCACAATTCTCAGCAAGAACAGCAGAACAAGGTTGTTCTGAGTGGAGTTTGCATGTTCTCCCTGTGTCTGCATAGGTTTCCTCCGGGTGCTCTGGTTCCCCTACCACTAAAAACATGTACAGTAGCTCTGGCATGCGCCTCCTGTACGGCACCCTTGTATCCATCTCTGTGAGTTAGAGACAAATGCCCACAACAATAAAGTGCTATGTGACTCTGGTCTGTAAAAGGCGCTGTATAAATAGACAGTACTTATTTACCTACTATGTAAGTCCACCTGAGTTAAAAAAATATATGTAATTATCTTCAGCATATTATATTTTTAAATATTTATCTTGATCATTTTTACGTGAGGGTCTGTGACTTTCCTCTGATGGCTGTAAGCGAGCGTTTGGCCCAGTTCTTCAGACGAGCGCAGCATTACCCACTTCAGCAGCTCCACACCCCTCACTTTGGCCCCCATTTAGGAAACTGGCGCAGAAAAGGGTGTATATTTTTGGTGAATATTCCATTTACGCTGACTGACTCAACGCCAGATTTATGAACGTGTGAGATACGCACAGATCTGAGCGTACGCAGCCGCGGCTGTTGATGAATGCCACGCTCAAAACTAGCGTATTTACGAAAGTCACGCCTAAAAATATTCAGAAACCGCCCGAGTTTATATTGAGTTTTATTGTATTATTTTGTCAGAAAAAAAAAAAACCGCTATATTATATGCGTTTTTTCTCTAGTGTCTAGACCCACTGCAGCACTCATCTCTCTTGAACTTTAGAAATGAATGAATGAATATTAAAATCTCAGCGGTGACTCTCATCATTCGTCAGCGACATCTTCTTGTGAATGCAATGGAGCGATCTCTGTTAGAGAGAAAGGATGCGTATGAGTTTGGGAAGTGTCCGTGATATCAGAATCAGAATCAGAATCATTTTTATTGCCAACGTAAGTAACGGGAGGTCACAGACTTGGAAATTGCTTTGGCTCAGTGCAACAGTCAAAAAGAGATAATAAAAATAAGAATAAAAAACACTTCTAAAGAATAAATTTAAATTTAAAATAGAGTTACAGTTACTATTTACAATATACAAGTGCACATGGTGCACACAATGTAAGGTGACAGCAGTACAGTGAAGTAAAGTGACGTATGATGGGCAGTAAAGTGACTTTATAAAGGGCGGGGGGACAGGTTAAGAAGTGTTCAAGAGTCCAACAGCAGAGGGGAAGAAACTGTTCTTGTGGCGGGAGGTTCTAGTCCTGATGGACCGCAGCCTCCTGCCTGAGGGGAGTGGTTGGAATAGTCCATGTGCAGGTGAGAGGGGAGTGGTTGGAATAGTCCATGTGCAGGTGAGAGGGGAGTGGTTGGAATAGTCCATGTGCAGGGTGAGAGGGGTCGGCTGTGATACGACCAGCCCGGCCTCGAGCTCGGGCGACGTACAGGTCCTGCAGCGATGGAAGGCTGCGGCCGATCACTTCCTCTGCAGAGCGCACAATGCGCTGTAGTCTCTGTTTGTCCCTGACTGTGGCTCCAGCGAACCACACGGTGATGGAGGAGGTGAGGATGGACTCGATGATGGCCGTGTAGAACTGCACCAACATCTGTGCAGGCAGCTTGGCTTTCCTGAGCTGCCGCATATCACAGAGAAACTCCAAAACATCTGAATGACACACACCGCATATGGCGAGTGCGGTGGGACCATTTGGCACCTGCTGCGCACTTCTCAAAGAGCCACTGCCCGTGAGCATGTTCCCACAAAAAAGCGCTTTGCCATATCTCTGCCTTTGCTGCGTTTATGGGGCTTTATGCACAAAACTAATGAAAAGATATGTTGCTTTGCCAGAGCTGAATGAGACAAAACAAAGAGCCATGCGTAATTACGCAGCACAGGACCTGCCACAGATTCACGGAGAAATAGATGGTCACACATTAAGTAAGTAAACCAGGTGTATTTTTAACATACCAGGATCACAAAGCGCTTCACAAAAAAAACAAAAAAACATACAGATGAAAATAATACACACAAGTCAGATTTAAAATCAAAGAAACAGAAGAAAGTCCTCATCATGATCTGTGATCTATTCAAAGTTTGCAAGTTTCCATTAGACTTTTTCTGATGCGTAAATCCAAATTTCGAAATTTGATGCTCAATGAAAAAGCAGCTTATAATTTTTCCAGACTGGGAATATGTTTATTGTTGTACAAATCTTTAATTTCATGCGTGTTTTGGCGTGTTGTGATGAAGGTTGATTGGGTGTAAAATTTACACCACCTACTGGATCTGCGTTACATTCTGTGCGTACCGTAAGCTCACGTCCAGATTGATAAATGCCCAAAAGTGTAAATTATTTGCGTACACCTCATTTACACCCTGCTTTGGCCGTACGCAAGTTTCATAAATGAGGGCCTTTGAGAGTGTGAAAACATGAAACCTGAGCAGAGCCGTGCAGAGTCGAGACCATGTGAAAACGGCAACGCTATCTTCATGGGTTTGTCTGGGGAACAATCGCACCGGAGGAAACCCACCCAGACTCATGTATTTTGCCTTTTAAACTCAGGATACAGTGGTTCCTCGCTATAATGCGATTCACCTTCCACAGCCTCACTGTTTTCTTGTGCTTGCTTTTTTACGGTGTGACTCATGCACTGTGCGTATACCCAACAAAATCATATAACAACATCATATAACATTACAGTTACCTCTATTTAAAGTCACAAGAAAACTTTTATGGCTTGTGTGCACCGCAGTGATTACTTCAGTCTTCCCAGCCCTCAGTCCAGCTTCTGCCCATCAGTGTCCTCTGCAGCTGTATTTTACAATGTATGCATGGCTTTTGACAGCTGCAGCAGCACTAGAATCTAAGATAAGATAAACTTTATTGATCTTTATTGAAGTCACAACCAACAGGTTTCTGTGATTGCACTTCTGCAGTCATGAATTTAAGTGGTTATCGAAACGTGAATAAAGTGTGAAGGGTTTTACAGCCTTAAATATATAGAGGCAATTTCAAGGATTTAATTTATCACAAGTCATTTTTTGTAACTCCCACGATAAACGAGGAACCACTGTATAAAGAATAACATAGGGAAGTATGCAATACAATAACATTTTACAACACAGTGTATTCTTGTATAGCCCTAAAGCACGACAGAAGTCATCTCATTACAGACCTGTAGCACTTACGTCTGTCGTCATGAAGTCATTTGAACGCCTGGTTCTCTCCCATCTCAAGTCCCTCACCTCCCCCCTCCTGGACCCCCTGCAGTTCGCCTACAGAGCCAACAGATCTGTAGACGACGCCATTAACCTGGCCCTCCACCACATCCTACAGCACCTGGACTCCCCGGGGACCTACGCCAGGGTCCTGTTCGTGGACTTCAGCTCTGCCTTCAACACAATCCTGCCATCCCTGCTCCAGGACAAGCTCTCCCAGCTCAACGTGCCCGATTCCACCTGCAGGTGGATCACTGACTTCCTGTCGGACAGGAAGCAGCGAGTGCGTCTGGGGAAGAATGTCTCGGACTCTCGGATTATAAATACAGGAGCCCCACAGGGCTGTGTTCTTTCTCCCCTGCTCTTCTCCCTGTACACCAACCACTGCACCTCCAGCCATGACTCCGTGAAGCTGATCAAGTTCGCGGATGACACCACCCTCATTGGACTCATCTCCAACAACGATGAGTCCACCTACAGGAGGGAGGTGGACCGGCTGGTGTCCTGGTGTCTCCTACAGGAGGGAGGTGGACCGGCTGGTGTCCTGGTGCAGTGGTAACAACCTGGAGCTGAACGCCCAGAAGACAGTGGAGATGATTGTGGACTTCAGGAAGAGCACTGTCCCCCCGCCCCCACCCTCCGTGATGGACTCCCCCATCACCTCTGTGGAGTCCTTCCGTTTCCTGGGCACCACCATCACCCAGGACCTCAAGTGGGAGCCGACCATCAGCTCCTCATCAAGAAGGCCCAGCAGAGGATGTACTTCCTGCGGCAGCTCAGGAAAGCCAAGCTGCCTGCACAGATGTTGGTGCAGTTCTACACGGCCATCATCGAGTCCATCCTCACCTCCTCCATCACCTCCTCCGTCACCGTGTGGTTCGCTGGAGCCACAGTCAGGGACAAACAGAGACTAAAGTGCATTGTGCGCTCTGCAGAGGAAGTGATCGGCCGCAGCCTTCCATCGCTGCAGGACCTGCAGTAAGCTCGAGGCCGGGCTGGTCGTATCACAGCCGACCCCTCTCACCTGCACATGGACTATTCCAACCACTCCCCTCTCACCTGCACATGGACTATTCCAACCACTCCCCTCTCACCTGCACATGGACTATTCCAACCACTCCCCTCAGGCAGGAGGCTGCGGTCCATCAGGACTAGAACCTCCCGCCACAAGAACAGTTTCTTCCCCTCTGCTGTTGGACTCTTGAACACTTCTTTACCTGTCCCCCCGCCCTTTATAAAGTCACTTTACTGCCCATCATACGTCACTTTACTTCACTGTACTGCTGTCACCTTACATTGTGTGCACCATGTGCACTTGTATATTGTAAATAGTAACTGTAACTCTATTTTAATTTTGAATAAAGTGTTTTTTATTCTATATTTTTATTATCTCTTTCTGACTGTTGCACTGAGCCAAAGCAATTTCCAAGTCTGTGACTTCCTGTTACTTACATAGCAATAAAAATGATTCTGATTCTGATCTCAGAGACTTAACAAAACCATTGAAATCACCAACACAGAACAGAGAATCAACAGTTAAGACTAAAAAATATGGAACAAATATTGGTCCATAGGGAGAGACCAATGTCCATGAATGTTGATAAATGTCCACACATGTTGTAGAATGTCAAAGTGTCCTGGATCATCACCACAGTCCAAATGCAAGTATATTAATATAAATACTTTTCATAACTTTCAGAAGCCAGACCATAGTTGGACCATCACTGTAAACCTAACAAGAGCTTTACATGTTAGCAGCACACTTCCTGCTTCCTTTCAAGTATATAAGTATATACATAAGTATATCAATAGCTGCACTCTCCACATTCTGCTGCAATAGAGAGAATGATCCTGTAAAACATCTGGAACGGGCTCATATTTTCTTTATGTGTACTTTTTGGAATCTTAGTTATCGTTTGCGTCGGTTCAGTATTGGTTGGTGTGATTCTAGAAGAAGCTTAGTAATAGCTTGGTTATGGGCTAGAAATGGTAAAAGTCATTGCTGCTGGTATGATGCCTGAAAATGTAATTTGAATGTCTGGTTTGGTCCTGGGTTAGTCCTGCTCTAGTCTATTTGTGTATGTGTTCACTGTCTTTCTTGTTAAAGGTGATATATTTGGTGCAATGAAGCTATAAATGTTTCCCTCTTACCACTGAATTTGTATGTAGAGTTTAACTAATACAAATTAATGTGGGAGTCATTTATGCATTCAAGAAAACCATTGCTCACGTTGCCTCTTTAGTCCTGTTTTCATCTCCCTTTAGACCAGGTTTACTTCTGGTGCAGCCCTCCCTTTTTATAGTAGTACGTTATTTCATACTGGCCCTATACCCTGTTACTGGCTCTGAAATAGTTACATTTCTAATATTATTCATGATCAAAAATAGTGTGGAATAAGTTTGAAATACTGCAACCTGTTCTGTGGATTGTGCGTCTTATCGTCAATAACCTGTGGATGTTCATGTTACTACTTTTTATTGAATTCTTGCTTTGTCTGGGAACTGTTTCTAAGTCTCTGCTTTTACCAAATAACAGCTGTTTGGATATTCAATTAGAGGACATAGGAATTTGTTGTTAACATGTGAGAGTATTGTATCATTTTCTGTATCAAAGCATTACTCAAGTTAATTTTACCGATGATACTTTGATATTGCAACATTAGTATTGAATATTAAGTATTGTTTGACTGTGTCTGAGATAGATGTGGTTAAAAACACAATATCTGTAACTGTGGAAAAACAATCAGCACAGATCCTGATCTCAATGACTACATTACCGCTGTGGTGCCCAACTCGATCTTTTATAAATAATGCAGTTTTTTTTGTCCCAATGGAAAGAATCTTGATAAAGTAAAACAAATCAGAGCACAACCTGCTGTTTGCGAATGTTATTTATTATTATAAATGTATTGTCTGATATATATTCATATATATTGTATGTATATTATGTATTTTGGGTGAGTCACTCTTTATGCTTTAGGCTGAGAACTTACTGACATTTCTAACTAACTAAGTTAGGCCCTCAGACACATGTAAAAACTAGTGATTGAACCAAACTGTTTTGAGAGCCAGGAACTTACTTTGATGGATTTTATTACAACGTTATCTTAATTATCTCAATAATTTGTTGTGATTGATTTCAGTACCCATCCCTCGCCATGAACGCAACAATATCCTTTCCGCTCTTAGCGTCCTTCTCGGCGCACGAACACTCCCTGCTCTTTCTGACCGTGTTGCTGTACATTGTGAGCGTGCTCCTCTCCGCCTTCTTGGCGCTGCTGATCTGTTGGGACTCGCGCCTCCACCGGCCCATGTATGTGCTGCTCGCCAACCTCCTACTGGTCGGCTCCACACTTTGTCAAACCGTGGAGCCGTGCTGTGGGGTCAGAGTACCGTCTCGCTGGTCGACTGCATGGTGCAAGTCTTCGTCACTAACCTGTACACGGGCGGAGTGTTCTGCATGCTCGCGGTGATGGCGTTGGACCGCTACATGTGTGTGTGCGTGCCGCTGCGGTACCACGTCCTCATGACCCCGCTGAACCTCAAGTTACTGCTCTGTGGCGTCTACTCTTTTCTTTTCACAATCTCGGTGGTGCAGGTTTTTCTCGTGTCGCGTATGACGCTTTGCCGTTTCTCTATGGACAAACTCTTGTGCGATACTCTGACCGTGACCAAGTTGGCGTGCGAGCCGAGTTCTACGGTGGGCTCGTTCGGTTTGTTCTGCTCGTTCAGCGTGGTGGTGTTGCCGTGCGTCATGATCCTGCTCTCGTATGCGCACATCCTGGTGGTGGTGGTGAAGACGTCGGGGCGCTCTCAGAGTAAAGCGTTGAGGACGTGCGCGCCACATCTCATCACGTTTGCCAACTTCTCCATGGCGTCGTTCTTCGGCGTGATCAACCGGCGCCTGAACGACAACACGCCGCGGCCGGTGTACATCGTGGTGGTCCTGGTTGTGCTCGTCTTTCCGCCGCTGCTCCATCCGCTGGTGTACGGCATCAACATGAAGGAGATCAGAGACAGAGTGAAAAGAATCCACACAAACGCCACTGGCAGCAAGTAACCGCTGTGTCAGAGGCCTCTTCATATATTTATTATCTATAGATTAACTTTATGATGTTTGAACTCTTTTTGTCATTTTGCACACCCTGAGTGGTTCTATTTATGCAAAATGCGATGCTATCTTATGATCTTAAATAGTAAATAAAAGTTTGTGTGTAAGCTGAGTGCTCTTATTTCCTCATAATATTCTGCTGTATTGTGCGAAATGATGACATTGAAAAAACCCTACTGTCGGGCAAATACAGGTTTATCTTTTATTATCTTATCTCAGCATAAACAGACTACTCCCTCACAAAATGCCATCATACCGGAGGAAACCCAGCCAGACAGGGTTTGAATAGCAAAATACAGAATAAAGAGGAAACCATTTTAAACACATATATATTAAGAAAGTATGCACCATGATTGACATCTGGTTTTTTTCACAATGATGAGTTCAAAAGGACTTTTCATAACTGATTATTATTCTATTTTAGTGTCTATTATCTTTATCAATAGATCCTGTTTGATCAACCTGAGTGCTTGGAATTTCTCCTTTTATTCTGCTGTAATGTTGGCCACGATGACATTGAAATTTCATCATTGCTGAAAAAAGTTAGTTTTGCAAGTGTACTGCAAAAACTGTGTTGAAGCTTGAGTAATGGATGGAGGACTGACATTCAATAATCTGCCTCAGGACATTTACAGGCGTGTAGTTTGGGATTTGCAGACAATTGCAAACCCACTGAACCTTCTCCGGTGACAGACCTGTTGCACATGAAGAGTCATACACAAACTCTGTGGGTTCCAAGCTCACCTCGTTCTGATCCTCAATGACTTCTACAGCTAAAGTCACAAGAAAAGGTCAGGCGATCAGGCAATTATTGTTTTATTTAAACACAATGACAATAAAACTAATGTGTTGTACATGTAACAATGTCAATGTAGAAAATTAAATGTATTACAATAAAATGATTCTAATCCGGTTGAAGGCCTCTCATTCTTCTACAATTTACACTTCAATGGTTTGCCATTCGTCCATGAAGAAGCTTTAGTAGTAGCAGTGTCCCAAGTTTCAACCTTTGGGAATTTTAAATGTTAAAGTGTGGAGTCCAATTTGATTTTCAGAAGAGCCTAAGTGTTGGATTTTTACTCCCCTATGGTTTCAGTTCTTCCCCGTCCTGGCATACCTCCCGCTGAGTCTGACAGCTTTTCTTAACACCTTTTATGGTTTGACTAAATACTGGGGACATTCCTCATTTTGTGAAGTCTGAAGACTACTGACTGTCCCTTCCCGCCATGTTGGCTGTTACCAGGTCTTTACAGAGGAGATTCTGACCTGTTTAAATTATGTTTTTAGCCTTAGCCCTGCACCGAGTGGCCCCCGTCTTCGTTCTACAATCCCAGTCCCCTTCTTTAGCCCATCCTTTCGTGGGAGTGGATCCCTCTCTCAATGTGGGCACATGCATGCTGTCTAAGGACAGTGGTGAAGATCAAGGACACTCAACATTCAACAATATTTATGAGCATTTATCAACATTCATTTGGTCATCTGTCTGCGAGATAACTACTGTTGTGATTTAGGACTTTACAAGAATAATTTGAAATTCAAAACCAAAAAAGGGCCCAAACATGTGTTATGAGGGTTCTTCAGTTGTTCCTCTGCAGCAGTGCTCTGCAGATGACGCGAACTTTCCGCAGACTGAGCCCATAAAGCAGAGGGCTGAGCAGGGGTTGGACAGTCAGGAAGTAAAGAGACAGCAACACCCTGAGGCTCATGGGAGTTTGGCTCATGTCGAAGCGACTCTGTACCAACTCAAAGAATGCTCCAAAAGAAAAACTGGCCAGAACCACAAGATGAGGTGTACAAGTCTGGGCTGCCTTCTGCCGAGTCTGCTGGCCTCCTCGAAAACACACACGCAGAATACGAGCATATGAGAAGACAATGAGCACAATCAGAAGTACAATGACGGTAAAGAGGTAGACCAGGCCGTAGATGTTGTTCACCGATGTGTCAGAGCAGGACAGCCGCACCAATGAAAAGTTATCGCAGTAAACCTTGGGGATGACATTACCGCACAGACGCAGACGTAAAGTTAGGCTGATGGTGAAGAGAATGATAAACACATTCCACACCCAAATCCCCAATGTCAGAAGGGATACCCGCATGGGCGTCATGACTTGGTGATAGTGCAGGGGCCGACAAATGGCCAAGTACCGATCGTACGACATCACAGCCAAACTGAAGAACTCCACAGAGCCGTAACAGTGAATGCAGAAGACCTGAAGGAAGCAGAGCGAGTAGGAGATTATGTGTTTGTCCTGAAGCAGCTGGAACATGAGGAAGGGGAACAGAGTGGAGCTTCCCCACAGCTCGTTCACAAACAGAGAACAGAGGAACATGTACATGGGCGTGTGCAAACTGCGCCTCGCCACGATCATAGCAATCAGCAACGCGTTAGAACCCAAGATCAGCACGTACGCACTCGCACACAGCAGAAAGTAGAGCCACCGCAAGGGCCCGAGCTCCGAGTAGGCCTCCAGAGAGAGCTGTGCGACCTGGGTCCAGTTTGACATGTGCAGGGGCTAAGTACTCTCCGAGAACATGAATTATGGGCAAAGTCTCTCACAATTCAACTCAACACTCAATACAAAGTTCACCATAAGATACAGTATTATTACATAGATAGATGGAATAGATATATTATAACAATGGTTTTTCTGTGTTAAACTACGAGCTGCATATACTTGAAATATACATAAAATACAAAACATTGCTTAATACGTAACATGATTAATGAAACAGCTACTACCACATCCAAATCCATATGTTTTATGATGTCATGCTTGTTTGTCCAGCCAGTGCAGGCAAAGAAAGGAGGGTCAACATACTAAAAGTAAAAAAATATTTACATCAATGAATGCAATTGTTTGTTATATTAGCAACTTTTAGCTGCTTAAAGCCTGATTCGTCGGATAATTATGAGGATTTCTATGAACATCGAAGGCATAGAGTGAGTTAACTGGAAATGTAGGCTTAATTTTTGCCTTTCATATACAAAATATACACAGGTTCACTAGTATTCATCTATGTGTAGCAGTTGTGTTCGTGGTCCTGAGCTTTTAACAGTCAAAAACATGAGGAATGTATTCAAAACATTTACATATTTTGTCGTTTTAAAATGCTTCGATTATGTCTTTACCTAAATATACGCTAATAAACTAAGCTTTACCTGTCAAGCACCTTACCTGGAAAATCTGGTGTTTGACAAGTGTTCTTTTGGGCTAGTCAAATGTCTGTAATCAGATAATATTTGTTTCTATTGCATTAAATCATGATGGTGTTTAACTAATTACAGTCTTTGCTACTTTCCACCACTTGAACTGGGATTAAAAAGAGCCTAAAGTTATTACTTATTACAGAATGAGTGTGTCTTGCCAAAAGACAACAACAAAACATTGACATTATAAAAGAAAAAGAGTTAACAAATATTAAAACCCAAAAGACAGAATCTGGACTGTGAAAATTGAATTCCAAATGCACATTTAACAAGCAAGATTCAACTGATGACTTACAACAGCTTCAAGGAAACGGCGAGAACCGAAGACAAAACCTGTGACACACACACGAAGAACACGCTCTGATTCTGTAAGCAGGCACCGGTGTTGATCACATGTTTAAGAATCACTTTTTAGAGTTGATATTTCTGAACAGAACCGTAAACAGAGAAAGACAGAGGCCCCTCTGACTCTGGAGCCTGAGACACCTGCGCTTTATCAGACTGTAGCGGCCCCTTTGGGACTGATGCAAAAACCACTCCCAAGGCCTCAGCACTATCCGCGGTCTGAGCTAGACCTTTTTTTCTTTGACTTGATCTTGAACTTTTTCTATGGCATTTAATGTTTTTGAACTCAATACCGTGCTTATTATCTTTGTTCACATGATGAAGCTGAAACTTTGCAGGAAGGAAAGAGGGACATTTCTGGAGCTGTTATGGCTTGTGTGATAATTCCAGAGGGTGTTCTGTGGTCTCAAATAGTAGGCAGAACAACGGATATTAAGTTTTGAATGTGAGAGTTGATTCTACACACGCAACTCGTCCACATGCTGTGTGTTGGTGTGTCACACTACGTCCCTCAGACCAGACTGCTCCCTCTCTGGTCTGTAAGTCTGCTGCCCTTTGTGTCGAAATACAGCAAAGTCCTTTCTCTCATATGTGCATCTCCACATGTATGGCTACATAAACAGACTGACAGATGTTTAAGAATGTCAAGTCTGTTTCACTTTTGAATGCACTGGAAAGTCCTAAGTAGCTCTGAAACAGTCTACCTGAGATGTTGCTGCAGTCCGGATCAGAGCGGAGCGGAGAGGATTCATGGTCCAAACCAAGCAGATCAGGCAAAAATCTACTGTAGAAATGCTAGCTTTTTGAAAAATGCTAATGAAGCATTCAGCTTTTTACTTTTTCTCCTGCTGTGACCTGAAGGGCTGTTGCTGATAATTATTAATATTATTACTGTTAGCTTTTTAGAATGATCAATTTTATTTTTCATTTTTGCTGCTATTGGACACTTGAATTTCTCCTTCGGGGATCAATAAAGTATCTATCTATCTTAACCATGTGCTGAGCATAACAGGACGTGTAATGTACATTCCCTATAAACGTTCAATGAAAAGTCAACGGTGACACACGTTTGAGCGTCAAACTACATGTGCGTCTCAGGATGCGCGCACAGACTGCGCGGCAAAGGCGCAGGAGCGGAAAATCTACGCACGTTTCCTCGGGACGCTCATGCAGCAACCAATCAGAGAGCCGCAAAGTGGTCACAAGGACATTAGTGTTCTGAGCTAGCCTGGTCGTACCACACCATAGTACAAATTTAATTTCGTACTAAGGTCTGGAGGTGCTCCTTTGACTCCGTGAACAGGTGGGAGGGGCTAACTCCTTTTGCAGATTTAAACGATTGGATCTGAGTTTACTGTGACGTATGTAATGAGCCCGAGTGAGTCGTTAGCATTTA